TCCTTTTGTGTATATTGAGACCTACTGCTGCTGCTACACTGGTCGTTTTCTCCTGCATTTGTTGTTGCGATTGCGATAGAAGGGCTAGATCATCTACGGAGTCTAGATCGTCCAGCTGCTTTCTAGCTGTCCACTGTATCCCATGCTTCCCCTCAGATGTTGACGTCTTCATGATCCAGTCGATCACCAGTTGAAAGAGAATGGGTGAGAGTAAGCAACCTTGCCTGACACCGATCTTCAACTCGAAAGAGTCTGCCAACTGTCCTCCATGAACGATTTTGCAGTTTAATTCATCATAGGAATTCCGTATGGTATTGACTATCTTCTCAGGTACACCGTAGTGTCGAAGAAGCTTTCATAATGTTGTCCTGTCCATGCCATCAAATGCTTTCTCATCGTCAATGAAGTTGATGTGGAGTGATGAATTCCATTCAATTGATTGTTCCACAATGATCCGTAGCGTTGCGATTTGGTCTGTACATGGTCGATCCTTACGGAATCCAGCCTGTTGGTCTCGAAGTTGAACGTCTACAGAGTCCTTCATTCTGTTTAACAATACCCTGTTGAGGACTTTTCCTGGTATTGAGAGAAGAGTGGTGCCAATGCAGTTATCACAGTTGCTGAGATCGCTTTTCTTTGGTATTTTGACCAGAAGTCCTTTCCAGTCTGTTGGTAATTGTTCGTCCTCCCAAATTTTGCTGAAGAGAATGTGGAGTATTTTTGCAGTTACTGCTACATCTGCTTTCAGTGCTTCTGCTGAAATGTCTGGTCCTGCTGCTTTGCTGCTCTTGATTTGTCTGATGGTCATGCTAATCTCTTTAATTGTTGGTGGGCCAACATTTATTGGGAGGTCCGTGGGTGCTACTTCGATGTTGGGTGGGTCCAGTGGGGCTGATCGATTCAAAAGCTCTTTTAAGAGTTCTACCAACCTGTTTCGCTGTTTTTTACTGTTGGTGATTACTTTGCCTTCCCTGCTTTACACTGATCGTCCTGGTTTACGATAATTTTCAGCGAGTTTCTTTGTTGTGTCATACAATTGTTTCCTACTTTTGCAGACTTTTTCGCCATCATTGCTAAATCTTCCACATGTTTACGTTTGTCGGTTCTGATGCTCCTCTTCACTTGCTTGTTTACTTGTGTATTCAGCTTGTACCTTGGCTTTTTCTACTCTTGTTCGGCTCGTATTGAATGCTGCCTTCTTTCTTGAAACCAGTATATCAACAGTGGCCCATTCCCTGTGATGGTGCTTCTTGCGACCCAGAACCTCATAACATGTTGAAGTGATTAACTCCTTGATCCCTTCCTAGTTGTTCTCCATGGTAGTTTCCTCTCGACTGAGTGGATCGTGAAAGGCATGGATCCTATTGCTGAGGGCTATCTTGAATTTGTTGAGTTTGTCAGCATCTCAAAGAAAAGCCGTATTAAACTTTTGTGACGTCCGCCCCGTTGTTCAGTGCTTCTTGAGTTTCCGTTTCATCTTGGCGACCAGCAAGTGAGTTTATATCAGCTCCTCCCTTGCTTCTCACGTCTTCCTGAACTTTTTGTTGATACAGGTATGGTCGGTTTGGTTTTGTATAGTGACACGGTGAAATCCATGTGGCTTTGTGTATGCGTTTATGTGGGAATATGGTGCCGCCTATGACCAGTTTATTGAAGGCACATAGGTTTGCAAATCTCACTATTTTCTTTCTTTTCTCCCAGTCAATGTCGTCCTATGATATCTTCATATCCGGTGTTGTCCATTCCCAACTTTGCATTTAGGTCTCTTATTAGAATGGTCAAGTCCTTTGTTGGTCATTTCCCGAGGATTGACTGCAGCCTATCGTAGAATTGATCTTTAACGTCTTCATTGTAGTCGTTGATAGGCGCATAGCATTGGATGACGTTGATTGCAGTGCCCTCTTTCTTTGTTTTGAAGAAGGCTTTGATGGTCCTGGGTCCATGAGATTCCCACCCTATAAGTGCTTTTTGTGCTTGTATGGATAGCACCAGTGCAACTCCTTGTACATGTGGAGCACTTTCTTTATCATGGCCGGAGTATAACAGCATCTCTCCTGAAGCTAGCCTTTGTTGTTCAACCTGCATCCAATGTGTTTCACTGGTTCCAAACACCTCCAGGTTATATCTTCATTTCTGCAGCAACTTGGATAACTCTCCCGGTCTCGCACGTTGTACGAACATTCCATGTACCTAAATTCATGGTTGCGCTTGTCAGAAGAGGCACCAGCCTCGTGACTACTGAAAGGACTCAGGCTTCATAACGAGACGTCATAAATGAAGACCTTACAACTCCCAGGGCAGAGTTTAAGTGGTTTCAGTAATTTTTTCTGGTCAGTGTTTTTTAGCGAGTTAGTTTTCTACGGGAAGTTGATAAATATTTACTAGCTCAAAGACTGACTCCCCATCTTTACTCAGCACTCTGTTCCTAACTCATACATTGCCTACTCGGTGGTCCCAACATACACTAACAATGCATCGTAGGCACTTATGATCGGATACCAGTAACGTACGAATATCCTCTACTTTTAATAGACATGTTTCACATCCACAACGTAAAACGGAGCTAACTGCTGAGTACTAAACTCGCAAGTTCGCGAAAACCAATCGAGTCTCCTGAATCCAAGCTGAGATTTCTTCAGACGCCAAACCATTAGTACTGATGAAACTCCCAAAATAAATGGAGCGATCGGTGCGTTCAACCACTTGACTCCCTATCACTAATTTAGGCGATGACAGAAGCCAATCCTGAAGTAATATTTTACATTTGGACGGAAAGAACAGCATCCCAGACATGTATTGTGGACCACGGGGTGGCTACTCTAATTTCTACCGACCGACCAACTTCAGATATCCCAGTACGACCCCAATCTCCAATATATCAGAACACGAATCGTAGATGAAATCGTTTATGGGGCCAGGAGAAAAATAGGAATGATACGTTACAGACAAATGCATATTTATACAGTTAGGACTACCGTGAATATTGACCAATAGGAAAATAACACCATTTCACGTTCAAGGATAGCATTAGACTTAGCAGGATAATTTTTGGGATATTTTTCTGAATATCCCAACAACATACTTGCATTTTTTCTCAAGGTGGTCAGAAGATTGCATTTTGTCAGTGTCTTCAGAAAGAACTATGTTGTCTGCGCATTATAAGCCAACAAGTGAATCTCCTGGCAGAAGACCGATCCCTGAAGATTCGGACGGTGAAAGTGTTATCTCTAAGATCATGTCTATTAAAAAGCTAAATAGAAAGGGGGAGAGCAGACGACCTCGACGAACATCATCCGAAGTAACGAATTACGATAACAGTTCGCCATAAGCACTAACTCGACCAGTAGTGTTTGAATAGAGACTGTACAAGGTTGATTTATTCCTTTCGTACGCTTTTCAATGACAGATACTGACATAGGACCTCACGATCAACGGAGTCGGACGCCAGCTTAAGGTCAAGGTATACAACTGTAGTCGGACATCGAAAAGTAGGCCTACTTTCCACAGTCTCCCAAAGGGTGAATATTTATTCTATACCAACCTGGTTTTTCTGGGTTCGCTCTTCATAAGCTCTGGTTAGATGTCGAAGTATTATTGAAGCTAATATTTCGGACGCTATATTAGTAAAACCGACTCCTCTGTAATTGGCACGAGAGGATTACTGTCCTTTCTTATAAACTAGGACGGTCAGCGACCTAGACCAGTCAGATGGGATTACATCAATTTCCCAGGTTTCAGTTAATCTGACTTCCAAATCTAGACCCCCATCCTTAGGAATCTCAGGAGTTAGTCCATCGGCACTACTGCTCTACCCTGCTTTAGATTACTTTTATAGCTTTCTCAACCTCAGAGTTGGAGCACTTTCATCAATTTCTTATTCGGGTTGCTTGGAGATGGTGGATGAGTGTGGCTGAAGGTCAGTTGAACCGTTTCCTATATTGTTTATCCCCTTGGTTCAATCTCCTGGATTGAGAGTAAATAGTAGTTTCGTCTTTATCAGAGATAGTTTTATTAAGTCGGATTTGTAATACCCGTTTCATTGAGCAGTTGCCTACTGTTTCCTACCGGTGCTGCCTTTTCTATCTTCTCTGCTTTCTCTACTCATCAACCTACGTTTAAGCTGCCTCCACCCCTTGCCGTATTCAGAGCCAGACGGAATGAGTTTCCAAGCATCTATCCCGACCGTTGTTGCTACCTTGACGTGGTGGTCGGGCTTGCCTATCGTGATGAAGCAACCGAGCTATACTGGCTGGAACAACCGTTCCTCAAGGTCCTACCATGTCAGACAGGTCGGTTGAAGAGCGGTAAGACTAAAAGCAACAAACCCAAGGTCCGAAGGCGAAGTCGTACTGCTGACTGTACAGAGGTGTGACAGCAGTAAGGTGTTTCCTTCAGACAACCAGCATGACAGCGATGCTGCCTTCCCACAAGGAGGGGTGGGGTTAGAAAAGGTCGACCCTAAAAATGCACACCTCACCTTACCTCACGGATTTCCGTCTCCGGCGGTAAGGCCCTTTGAAGAACGGAGTTAACGCGTCAAAAACCTCCCACGAAAAGGCCGTGCGCGACCGGCCTCAAGCAGTTGTCCCTTGGGCACTGCGGTCACGCTCTCAGGTCACTGAGACCGCCTCTAATCCAATTTCCTTTTCAGGTACCTCCAGAAGAACCCTTCCACGGTGTGGGCAACCGGGAAATGATAACCGCCCTCATACCTCTAACAGCACCCAAGACCACTTGTAGCTGACTGACCAAGCATCTATCAGTTCTGTAGAAGACACTGAAGTTTACTGATTTTGATTTCCTTCAGTTGTGAGGAGACAGCATTGCTGCAGATGCTGTTTGTTCAATGGAAACACTTTACTGATATCACATACCACCACAGTCAGCGGTACGACTTCGCTTTCGGGCCTCAAGTTGCTGCTTTCAGTCTTACCATTCTCCAAGAGACCTGGCTGGGATGATAAGACCTAAAGGAACATCTATTCCAGACAATATACCTTCGTTGGGTTATCAAGATAGACAGGACCGATCACCATAGTTGGGAAAGCAACTCGTTAATTTACGTCAGTATTTAGGATAGTAATGTTTAAATTTTGGTGGAAATCTCAACCACACAATCATCATATTGGGTAGTTCTTTTCACCAAAGTTAACCTTCCTTCACGCAAAAAATGGACTGTTCACAAATTATGTGGTATATGGTTGGGAAGGTCTCAGCTATCTACAGAATGTAGCACAAAAATGATACAGTGAAATTTTTAAAAAATGGTGAAATAAATTGGTGATATTCATATTTTTCAAAAATGACAGTAAACGTGGGACTACAGAGACTGATAACGTTAGATTCTTTGTACAACTATTTTTTGTTGAATTTAATTTTCTCAAATTCTTTAAAGTTCTCATCTAATATATCATCTAGATCACATCTTGTATGGATGAGGGCAAAATATATTCCAACTATCAAAGCACATATAAGTATAATTGGATATTGATAATGTGGTATATCTTTCGGCTTTGGGACATAATTCATTACAGCATGCCATTTTTTGTGCGTTGAATACCGGATTTGTCCGTTTGGTAATTTATCATTATCGATTTCCGGTACTGTACGAGAATATGTTCTACACAAACTATGATGAGCAGAGAGAATTTTTGTGGTTGACTTCTTGTTAAACATATTTTTAAAAGAATGAATTCCAAATAAATTCCGAAAAAGTATTTGATTCATCCTGAAATTTGTCAATTATTTAGCGGCAGTCCAATAATCTAGAAAAATTGTTAGGCAGTTATAAGTTTATCAAAGCCAGGTAATAGGAAATAATTAACAAAAGAATAAGTAAATATTATCAGAGATATTTCTTGCTATTGTAATATTAGTCTAGGACGTTTGGGGATATAGAGATGATTTATAAAGAATATTACTTGATCTCAACACAGTATGTAATTAGTGGAAGTGAACAGTAATGTAAATTTAGCATATGGCAATATGTCACGAATGCCTGGATGGAATCATACTTTTATTTCTTGGTGCAATTTGGATCGTAATGTAGGTCAAGAATGAGTTACTTTAACGGGTAGAACAAAGAAGACAGTAGGGCATTCTGTTCTAGTGACTAAAATCCTCAAATACACTGAACTTATAGGTTGACTTTAAAAGTTTAACTTGTGGAATTTCTCTTGCCACCAGTAATGTTACTTAAGAAACAAACGAAACCTTTCAGCCGGGATTATATTCAAAATAGCTACGTGTATTTATTATAAATAAAATTCACTTATGATATCAATTTGTGAGTCACCTATATCTTTTTTTAAGTATTTTAAAATGTTAACCCAGGAACTTTAGGGGTGACTGGGGTCTATCGACTTTCCACATATTTTAATCGAGTAATCCTTTATCCTGCACTTCGATGACTCTCTTCATGTTTTAATCTTTTTTGTTGTTGAAGTAGTCACTCTCAGATTTTCAGCTTACAAAATACCACTTGTAACTACATATTGTGGCTTTCGATTTTCAAACGCTGCGTTGAACAGCAAGTCTTTATAGTTAACTCTTGTAGCTAAAGTAGTATTGTGGAGATAGGCATGACAAACTTATTTTGTAAATAGTTTTGATATTATTTGCATTTATTTTGTTAATTTTCACAGTCTGTACATTTACCACAAAATGATTATACATGTTGTTTAAGTGTATGACCTTGAACACACACTTCCGTTCTGTACTACTCATATCATGACACGCTTTTAACTGCTAGTAAATACACTACTATACACACGCCTCCCATTCTCGATTACTTGTAGTTATGATAACTGAACTCTAAATCATCTACTATCTACATTTATAGACTGCAGCCACATTTACATTATATTTTACGTTTGGCTATATTACTGGAACCATAACAATCCCATTGGAATTATTATCTATAATTGTGGACTCTGGTACCAAATACAACTCGAACACGCCCAAGTTTGCTGATTCAAGTAACGTCCCTAAATTTTTATTTGTGTTTATAACTTATAACTGATATATTATAACTCAAAAATAGTAATAAAGTTATTACGTATAAACGGGTCGTGGATGCGCACTGCTGAGGATCCCCACAATAGGACGAAACGGCCGTCCTGTGCTTCCAGGTTTCCAAAGGTGGTGGTCTAACATCAATCGGTTCATTATCTCAATAAATGCAAATGTTGGGACGGTATATCCCCAAAATTCATATTTGTAATTTTATCATACCGATTAACTTATCGATTAAATATCTGAATGCCTGTCGATTGATGAACTTAATGAGTCATGTTTAAAAAACCTTTTACTATGACAATATCGATTATATATATTTATATATATACTTTTTAAATTGTGTTTGAGTGCTTGCTTGCTCGCTCGTTTTCTGGCTGTTTGCAGAATATATTTCCCATACCAAGCTTGGACTTCTCCTTCTGGATAGCGGGGCTGGGACGCATCAATAGCTAGATTACTGGTCTTTGGCCACTGAGTCTTGTTCTCGTTCGCAGATTAAGTGAACTCGTGAAGCTTCAAACCTAACAGCAAATAATATCAAAAACCATTTACAAAATAAGTTTGTCACGCCTATCTGCACAGTATATATGTGCCATGTTTTCAAACTCCTTCTGAAGAAACAATTGTAGCAAATCACTTAGTTTTACGTAGTTGATGTAGTACTTGGATACAGTTCGCTTTACAAGTGTCCAACAACTCGATGTCTAGTATTTGCAAGCTTAAAAGTGTATACGATGAATGGACTTACGAAAACAAAGTCTACTTTTCAACTGAGTTTCAGTCTACTGTGCGCTGTCTAGCTGAGAGTTCGAATCAGAGCTTTATTCACTAAGCACATAGATGTCTGATTATAGTCTCAGCTTCTATCAACAAATTAAATGTAGAGCCGGTTACAAAAACAAATTGACTCAAGTTATCACACTTATATAAACGGAACGAAGGGGGATCAATAACGGAAGTCAGAGATTTGATACGATGAAATTAAGTGATGAAAACTGGATGTAGAGAATATGAAAAAATAATAAAGCATCGCTAGTGTATTTTAGGACCATCAAGTGAGCAGTGTATAGGTTAGAAACAGAATACGAGGATAGTAAATCCTTATCAACTGAAGTGGTTGAAGATATGTATTGTTTGAACACATAAACATTGATACAAGGGGGCACCAAATACATATACGCCACACAATGGCAGTGAGGTTGTGAAGAGATCGAGAATGTAAAGTGAGTATAATAAAACAACAAAAATAAGCAGAAATCAGTGTATGGGAGTGAGGTAATAATAATAATTAATTAATTAATAAGTCGTAATAATGGGAGAAACAGTTCAGTTAGTAAAAATACAACCAGAAAGAATTCTTTCAGTTAAAGAAGTTACATTTATGCGGAAAGTAAAAGAAAGTCACAGTAGGATCTCCTCTGGCTCCAATTCTGAGCCATGTCTCATAACTCCTTTAGCCACTGTCTTGCACAATTTCTATGGCCCCAACCAGGTAGTCGTGAATAATCAGCAGAAGCCAGTTCTCTACAGCTTACTTTCATAACTAGACACCATATCATACACTTCTTGTGGCCCTAAATCTGACTCCATTTAAATTATATTATGATCATTATAGAATTACACATGTCAGCTATCCTTGTATATTTAACCGAATTGAATAGCGTTAGTGAATGATGAAATTAAGTCAAATACGAGAATGAGATTTAAGTACGCATATTTTGTACAATTGTTGATCGGAAAGCGAAGCAGAACAAAATGACGCGCAATGGAGAAGACGAGTGAGCCGACTCGATTGAACCAAGCGTGAATTGATATTTATGGTCAGACAAAATAAATTATAGACATGTGATGAGTAGGATAAGAAATGCACACATATACATAAAAACAGTCGAGGTTAATAAGCCAATAAGTGACAAGGTCAAAGTGTGGTTTAAAATGAATAGATTGGTCTGCCAGACTGGACCAGCCACTACACACTGACCACCTCTCCGCTCTTCCCAACCGATCCTAACGTCGACAAATAATGCACGACGTGGAATTCTCTTGGACGACATTCGTAGTACATGTATAAGCCAATGAAGTCGGTATTTCAAGATGATGACACCAATTAAGTTATCGTCACCACGTCCGAACAAACGCTGCAACACATCTGCATCACTAACATGAGTTGCCATAGAACGACATCAATCCTCTGGAGACATTGATGGTTTACTAGAAAGACGCCTAACATCCTGAACTCGAAGAGACCAGGTTTCACAAGCATAGAGCGAAACTGCTCTCACCGAAGCGTTGTAGATCCGACCCTTAACAGCCAGACTAACATCACGAAGGCGCCAAAGATGGCTTAGATTGGCATAAGCCGCTCTAGCTTTCACTATACGTGCATTGATCTCATCACTCACACCCCCGCCAGCACTTATGCAGCTACCCATACACACAAACTTCTCAACTACTATCTGTTCACCATCCAAAGTGATTGCAGGGTAACGGCCCTGTCGGTCTTGTAAAAGTACTTTGCACTTCGAAGGTGCAAAGCACATACCATACCTACGGACACTGATTGCCAACTGATTAAGTGCAGATTGCATGGCTTGGGTATCATCTCATAGCACGACAATATCATCCGTATACTCAAGGTCGGGGAGTCTTCCTCCAGGCAACAGATCTACACCACCATTACCTGCATCCATCAGGACGTCATCGATGGCAAAGTTGAAGAGGAATGGTGAGATTGGGCAACCCTGTCTAACCCCATTGCTCGAATGGAACAATGGAGAGAGGTGGTTGTATGCCTTACTCTGCCTGAATTGTTTGTATAAAAGACTTTCAAGATATTAGTAAACTTTAAAGACACACCTTTCTTCACCAGACAGTCTCAGAGAACAGTCCTGTTCAACGAATCGAAGGCGGCTCTAATGTCAAGAAACACTATGATTGCTGGCCTGTGATAAGTATGACGATGTTCTAATATTTGGCGGAGGGTGAAGATATGATCAGTGCATCCTTGACCAGGAAGAAAACCAACTTGCTCCTCGCGAGTCAATCTTTCTAGGGTTTCGAACAATCTACAAAGTATGTGCCCTCAAATGTCTTGGTACAACCGAGAGTGGGGAGGGTCCGCTCTCCCTCACGAAATGCTCCCACATGGTCACGCGTATATAGCCACTGCCAAGGAAGTCCTACTCACTGCCTTCTCGTGGCGGGAGTATTGTTTACGAAATTTAGAGGACGAAAAGCGAACGTCCGGCGATTTAACCGGGTTGGTGGACACGGAGAGTCCACCTAGGGCAGTTGGAAAAACCTGATCCCGAACCATTGGTGCACATGGGCTCCAGTATCCTGAGGGAACAAACGGAGTATGAACCAATTATCGGCCACCGGCTACCATGTGACTGCACCTCCTTACGTTGCTCCACTGCCTTGTGGATTGGACCTTTGGGTCAAAGGCTCGGGGTGTGGCCTCCTAAGAAAATTACCTGCTTCGGTTTAGGCACCCAGGCAGTATCCCAGCCCTCACACAAATCGAATGATTTATGTGGCGCATACTTATTTAGTGCCTTCTTGTACCAACGTTTATGTGTTGAAATAAATAAATAATAAATGATTTAGCTAAAAGGGCGAAAAATGGGATTTGCTTGGATAAGACTTGATCCTTAATGTTAGTTCGAAAACACAGAAGAAATCGATATGGTATGAATCATGATGAAGCAGGTAACTATGGAAAGCAAAAGATTTAAAGGTCAAATAAATAACGATACATAAGTGTCTGTAACAAAGGAGACTATAATTCGTTGGTGAAACCAACGGAAGTAGAGGTAACATGCCTAAAATCTTGATGCGGATTTTATTCACCTATATGTTTAGGTGGGATTTTAGGACAACAGTTGATGTCTATTCTTGAAGAAAACCCTTTATTTCATTTCTCAACCTAAATCAAATTGATCGCAATACGTCCACCAGTCACGTGGATATGTACGCCTAAGGGACATTCTCTATTTTCGAAAGGAACACTTTTAAAGTTAGTCTTTTCGAATAAAGTTAAGGCGTCCCAATAATATAGAATGACTGACCTCAAGGGCAAGTTTGACGCGTTCTCTCAGACGTGACCTAGAAACTCGTCCCAAACTCGTTGCAAAATAGCCTGAACAAAAAACATTAATTTCTGGACAATCAAGCTTCAATCGCTAAAGAATAAAGCGGTAGTAAATGAACTTAACGGGATCCTTTGACGTATAGAATTCAAGGATAAAATATTCCAGTTATTTCATAATTATTAGATCAAAGGATATACAGTATTAATTCATAAAGGGTTTCCAAAAGTTAGAACAATCTCGATATTTTATTCGTCAAAACATGTTTCCTGGTGATGATAGGAGGCGAGGAAGGTCATTTACATACAAGAGGAATAGCACTGGCCCCAAAACTGTACCCTGGGACATTCCACTAAACACAGTTTCCCAGATAGATAACTTTGAGTTCACCCGTACTTTTTGTTAGCGCCCAACTAGTTAAGCCTTCTATCCACATCAGTAGATTGCCTCCAGTTCCGATGTTTATTAGATTATATAACGGCTGGTTGTGCGGAACTTTGTCAAATCTTTGCTGAAATCAATGTACGCTACATCTACAGGTAACTTTTGTTCCTTAAGAGGGCATCAGCTTTTACGAGCCACTAATAAGTTAGTGAGACAAGAATAATCTATTCTGAAGCCGTGATGCTTCTCCAAAAGGATCCGGTTTTTATCAAGATACTTAAACAGCTACTTTCGGATAATCTTTTCTAAGATTTTTACAACCACACTAGTTAGGCTAACGGGTCGGTAATTCTCAGGTTTGTGTTTTGTACCTGTTTTGAAGGCAGGGCTTACTATGGTGTTCTTCCAGTCTTTTGGTAAACGACTCTGCGTTACGGATAGATTAAAGCATATACTTAAAGGGCTTGCAACGAAGTAAGATAATTCCTTCAGTAGCCTGGGATGTAATTCACCGAACCCCGTGGATTTACCTGTGTCAAGCCTATTTAGCAGACCAAAGACATCGAGTTCTTTTATGGTCTCGCTATCCAGCATATGTGTGGGAGGATTTGTATGCGCTGACAGGAAGGGTGCTTCTTTGGTATATACACTGCTAAAGTAGTTTGAGAACACTTGGGCTTTACCGACGTCGTCCTCCATTAATGATGGGCAGTACTGTCTCCCCATAGAGCAGGAACATTTCCTCCTCTCTTTTTCCTTTGGTTCATATGGGAATACAAGCGTTTAGGACATTCTATGGATTCCCTAACAATCTTTTCTTCGTACAACTTTCCAGACTTACGGAGGGTTGAGGCACAAGTATTCCGAGGTTTTCGATACTGAAATTTTGTCTCATCGGCCCCCAGTAGTCTAAATCTATCCCACATTTTCATTCTCTTACGGAGAAGAATGCAGACCTTCCTACTGAACCATGGTGGAGAGTTTCTCGGCCTCCTTGGTATAGTCCAAGGAATATGGGGTGCAGTAACTTTTAAGTATAAATTTCAAAGTGCGCCCCAAGCCGTTTCAATTGAGGACTCTAAATCTATTGTTCAATCTACTAACGATGCTGAGTGCATGATATCTGGTATGTTTGCTTTCCAGACGTTAGGTCTGGATTGAGCTAACGCGTGCTCGTGATTGATAGTTATACGGAAGTCAAAAGTTAAAACTAAGTGATCACTTTTACCTAGGGGTGGCATATAATGGAAGTTTGCAGCGTCATTTTCATAGTGAGTCAATATAAGATCTAGTAAGGATGATCCAGAGTCCGGGTCGTACCTTGTCGCTTCATTCTCATGTTGCGCTAAGGCACATGAGATAACCGCATCAACTAGTTCCTGCTCGAAGGAATTATCTGACGATTCAGTTCGCAAATTCTTCCAGTCTACCATAGGTGCATTGAAGTCCCCTAGGATTAAACATTGAACACTTTGTGACCAAGTATTGAGACTGCTCAGCAGGACCTCATTTACCTCACAGCTTGGACTGCGATTGACCAAACCAATCAGCAGTTCTTGTCCCTTGCGCTTCAAGCGGCAACTAACTAATTCACACGTCCCACTCTCATGGGATACACTATCGAAAATGGCAAATGGGGTAGCATTCCCAAAGAATAGAGCTACTCCCTCTCCTTTGCGCTTTTGTGTTCTGTCGGCCCTTACTAACGTGAACCCCTCGAAATCAAGTTCCATACTATCTATAGACTGTGTCAGACAGGTTTCTGTGACTGCGATTATGTCTGGCTTTGTAGAGTCAATATGTAAACCTAGTTCCGATCGCTTATCGAGTAAGGTTCGGGCATTAGTGTAACAGATCCGAAGCCTGTTTAAGTGGCTTCGTGCTCCACCCAGGGTTGCTTCGGCATCATTTTCTGTCGAAGCCTTACAATCCGAAAATTTACAATTTTTATACTTTTCGCCAGCGTCTAACCTAAGTTGTAGTTCTTTCTCGGCTTCCCGTCTTTTAACACGGTCTGCCAACGGTAATTCCTTTCGTATAAAGACTCCTGAGCCCTTTAATTTATGTCCATTTTGTAAAATTAGGTCGCGTTCATCCGAAGATTTGAACACTACTTTAAGCAGTGTTGATTGATTGGGCTTCAAGTTCGCTAGACTACCTAGTCTGTACACATTTAGCAAGGTGACTCCGGGTATATTTTGAGGCATGAGTTGATTAAGTAGCTGTTTTATTAGCACAGTGTCATGGTCAAAACGATTTTCTGGTCCAGAGCTTTCACCCTCCTTGATTCTATGAAAAATAACTGATCTGTCACTGCGATCAGCCTTCGATTTCTCGACTACTTTTACGAGGGCAGGATTCTCTTTTATATCGTTATGTTGTTTCTTCCTTAAAACCTGTACCCATTCGTCGACGTTGCTTGGAGAAGCAACCACAGTCGCGTCAAACATACTGCTGGCTTAAAGCAGACGCTTTTAAGGCATGCTTCTTCATGTTACGACACATTGCCGGGTCTCTGTTATCTTTCGTTGTGGTTAATTTAAACAGCCTATTGCAGCAATCGTAGTAGGTTTGGCAGATTTTAATTGGATTGTATATGTCACGTGTACCCCCTTGAATCGACAGATATAAAAAGCAGACAAAGGATTTGTTGCCATTCTGAGCGTCTTCTACATTGCTGTCTTTATTACTTGAGAAAAAAAGTGAAAAAAGTTAAGTGTATGTTGAAGTACAATTTTGCTTGCATATGAAGCAAATCTTGAGAAACAACCATCACACGCGTACAAACACTATGTGATAGCTAAAAAATGTACACAAAGTAATATCAAAATCTTTTGTGAGAGGTGAACAAAATACACATGAATAGAAATGTCTCAACTGTGCAAACTTTTTGGTTTTGTTTTCTGTTTTTGATACAAAAATTAAAAAAACCGAATAGCTGTAGGAGGCAAGAACTTATGACATGCTCTGTATACAGTAGTCGTTCAGGTGCTCTAGAAACAATACAGTTCCTCCAGGGCGTTCGTCTTATACCGGTCATCAGATATCAACGAAGATTCGCCGTGGTATTTAACTATCAATGGTTCGATCGCAGTCATGAATATTGTGTCGCTTGATTTTTTCATGTGAAATTTGGCATAGACGAGGTTTCCTTCTATGTAAGTGGCCTTAAACCCATTGACGTTCATATAAAACTTGGTTCCATCCTTATCGATAACATAGTACCTAGGTTAGCGATGAAGAACACCGTAAGGTCCTTCAGATGCAGTTGCGAGGGGTCGGTGTAGTGAGTAGCGATTTACGGAAACCTGAGTACTAAGCCATAAAGTGGATTCGGATCAAATACCAGTAGCTTGCATCTGAGCAAAAGACAGGTTCAGCTGAACTCATCACGTTCGTGATTGTAGTGGCATTAGGCTTTAACCACACAATCCTCAGAGCTGAATGCGAGACAACTGGGAAAATAGATAGTCAACATTTAACGCAGAGAATAACCCAACGATGGAATAAGTGCGAAGAGTAAATAAACTCATTCGAAGTTCAAATTCATCGGATGGCATGGCTCGGCCTCGCAAGTGTTGTCACTCTTGAGTGTCGTGTTATATATTTTATTCATATTAAATATATTGTTGCACCTCTAGCCTAAGCTTGTCCTCCATCATATATTGTTATATTATTATTGATGACTGTTACAACGCAATGAATCAGGGTAGACAATGATGTGAAATCCACGTAAGATCTTATAGATCAAGCAGTTACATCATAACAAATCTGCAATTTTAGAATTAGGTCTATTAATATGGCAGTGCTAATATCGAAGTAGACCATAATTCTACATGATCATATCAGTATCAAACATTAACAAGGGTTATCTACTCCACGTGATCAATGGGATAGATTTTCTTTGTGTCGAGCTCCCTTAGGGATTTTAGGAGCATTATCGGTGATGATGAATTTTAAGAGGACGAAAGAGTTTTATGGAGGTATGAAATTACATTTTGCAACGTTTGAGACTTTTTGTTGACAGAACAAACCTTGATATTGGGGGTTCTGATGATCTCCAGAATCCGATTGGCAAAGGTGGCCGGTTAATCTACGCCGTTGTTGAGATAGCTTGAATAGAGAGAGTTGTTGAGAAAGGATTTCATTGAAGGTTCGTGACCAATGATCTTTTTCATATGCAGCAAGATTTCTATCACGAAGCCATGTTTAGATTAGATATCGTAGAATAGGTGGTCTTGTAAAATAATAGACTCCTTTGATATTGGTACACTTATTTTCATTACTGTACTAATAGACCTAATCCTAAAGTTGTAGGTACATCATGATGTGACTACCCGATCTATAAGACGTTACGTGGAAGCCACATCATTGTCTACACTGAATCGTCCTATCATACGGATTAGCACTATAACGTCTAGCACTTCTAAAGAACACTTTTGGGCTAAATGGGTTAAATGGTAATGTATTCAGTACAAAATGCAACAGGTTTTACATAGAGTGACCCATCCTACATAGCCGAGCCATGCTATTTCGACCAACTGTTCCCGCCTTCACTATCACCGACCTTCTCCAAGTGTTATATGTTGGACGTCAGTCTTCTCAGTAATCATATGTCCAGCTTCCACTAAATTGGTGATTTATGATATATTGC